GGGAGGTTGTAAATCGGTCTAGAAAACATGGTAGCAGACTGATAAGTTCGACCCATATAGAGGTTTGGAACACCCATAATTCAAATGTTTTTTTCTGGACTACCACTCGAACCGATTAGAAAACACAGTAACTCCGAAACAATAACGGTGGTCCATAATTAATTTTTAATATAAATGCAAATTCATAAATAATAAAATAATAAACTTGTTAACTATGTGAATAATTCAATGATAATCATTTCTAGTAAAAATAAAAGATCTTGAATTTAAATCACATAATATGTGAGTGGGATAAAATTAAAGATAGAAGAGCATTACCTTCCATCATGTAATAAAAAATAAAAAATAAAATATATAATAAACTTAGTCAATTGGTAATTAACGATTTTGTCTAATCTAACAAATAATAAAAATTTGTAATAATAATAATAATAACTATTTAGATAATAATAATAAGGAAAATGATTGGTACATCCTATAAAGTTACACATTCCGTTACACTCCATTACACATTGACAGTTTCTGTTTGTGTTGTTAATGTTGACGGTTTCTGTTACTTGTATCATTAAAACTAATGGCTTCTATTACTTATACTATTAAAACTAATGGTTTCCATTGTTTGTGCTATTAAAACTGATGGTTTCCGTTACATACTAATGATTTCTGTCAGTGTGTAATGAAGTGTGTAACTGTACATGGTGTATATATCATTGTCCTAATAATAATAGTAATTATTATTATCTTAAGTATTGATTTAGAAGACTACAAACCACTCAAGCACATCTTTCACCCCAAATTTAAAACTCTTTCACCCAAAGTGTTCCCCTAAGCATATGATAATTTTTCCAATGTTTCTTAGGGTTGCCCATAAACACATATTTAAAACTAGTTCAAGTGGAGTTATATTTCTATTAGAAATACAAATACAAATTTTATTAGAAGTTGTATTTATTGCCTCATCATGATCTTCAAATTCCTTGGAAGAGAAGTGTTAGGAACACTTTCTCTAACACATTCTTTTGAACACTCTCTACATGATTAGATTACATATATAGTACGTAAATTTAATGTGATTGGGGATTAGTGTTTGATATTAAAGTTAAACCACACTAGACATCTCTATAAATTTGCTAATAATATATATTTATAGTTGATTACAAGTATTAGAGTTTTGGTGGAGTTGAACTTTAAATTCCATATCAATTTAGAGCACTATTTTGAAACTCAGACCAAACCGATTAGTTTAACCAATTCACCGTAACCAGTTTTAAAAACAAGCTGGGTTATAATATTAATTATTGGTTGTGTAGTGTGCTTCTATTGTGCCGATAACCCATTTAGGTTAGTCTTATTATAACCCTTGCTTAGGTCATGTTTGGTTTCTTAGTTAATCTATGAAAATAAGGCAAAAAAGATGAATTTTTTTCCGCTAATGAAAAACTTATTTAACAAGTTCGGAATACTTAAAGTTTTTAAATTAATCATTGTTTACTAAACTAGTAGTAAATTAAAAAGAGAGAAACATGGTTTTTGGTCTACCCTAATAAACTTTAAAATTTTAGTTCAATGTGAGGAAGAACAAAAACAGCACCAGTGAATCTTCATGCTTCCCTAATTCACTTAGTGTAGTTTTATCATTTCCAACTCCTGATTGATGTTTTCAAGTGAGGCATACTTTAAAAAATGTTTATGTTAAAGATATAATTATTATCACCTCTTTGAGAAATATATACATTCCTTATTTTCTCCATAATAATGAGAAAAATTATAAATCATTTAACTTTAATTTTATAGTTTGAGCAATGAATTGCCATTAGTCTAATCCAAACATGACTTATGGAGTTTTTTTTAATTTTTTTAAAGATTTTATTGTGTGTTTTAGATTTTTTTTTTTTTTTTTGAAGGAGCTCTTCATCTTATTTAACGTATTATAAAGTTTAATTTGATGTTAATTTTAATTAGGCTTCAATTCTTTGTATTGTCTAGCAGTTCGAATTTCTAGTGTGGAGAAGAAGAAATTGCCATAGGAAGTGCAGCAATCTCAAATTAAAAAAAGATAGAGTGGCGGTATGTTTGAGATCCTTAATTAAAAATATAATAGTTTTATTGAGAAAAAAAATGTAGTTGCTGCGAGCTTCGTTAACATGAGCATTGATGACTCCTTAAATGTGTTAATTTTTTTTAGTTGAAATCAACTTTGCTAAAAGGGAGATAAAAGAAAACAGAAGATAAAGAAGGGAGTTCCAATCAAGTTTCTCAAAGATAAATTTGTCCACTAATTAAATCAGGTACTTATTTTTTATCTCTCACACATCTTACACATTGACCAATTACATATATAATATAAATGAAAATATTTGTGAAGTACTCTCCATGAGTATTGATGACTCCTTGTTAATCACTATATTTGTGTATAAAATTATAGTTTTTTTTTTTTTGTGTAAATTATGTTTTCACTCTTTTTTTTAAATGAAATAATATGGTTTAAAATTTTTTTTAAAAAAAGTGATTGACAAACACAAAAATATATATAAATAAAAAATATAAAAAATCAAAATGCTCTTATTTTTAGTTTAGAAATAAATTATTTTATTTTTTTAATAAAAATTTATTAAAATTACATAATTTTATATTATTGTTTTCTAATTTTTTAAAAGATCGGCTAATAATATTATTGGTTGTGGTGCCCTCATTTTGCTATCCCATCCAGGTTACTCTTGTAGCCTTTAGGCGATGTTTATTGTAAATAATTAGTATTTATTGGTCAACGTGTAAAATAAAGCAAAATAAACGAACCTTTCTTTTATGTCAACGAAAAACAACTTACTTAACAATTTAGAAATAACTAAAAATTAAGATTAATCATTCCTACTAAGCTAGTAGATTAAGGAAAGAGAATGTATTTTTCAATCCTCCTGGTACTTTTAAGATATCAGTTCACCTTAAGAAAAGATAAAAACATCACTAATGAATCTTCTTGTAATTTTAGTTCATTAAGGGTTATTTTATCTTTTCAAACAATGACAGATGTTTTCAAATGCAGAGGCGAAAACCATTTTTATTAAAGAAATAAGTTTATCACCTCTTCTTAAAAAAAAAAAAAAAAAACTCTTTACATTTTCCATGACAAAATGAAAATCATCAATCTCAATGGGGACAACCGCTAATATGAGTAATATTAGAGAACTCATTCCTTATTTAATAATCAAAATTGTGCAATTTAACACAATTTATATTGTACAATAATTTAAAAAAAAAAGGTCATTGCATTGATTTATATTAGCCTATTTTCAATTTTTTTTTTTTATCATTCTATTTACTCACCTTTCATGTGTATTATCTTCCTTTCCAGTTATAATCAAATTCATAGAAAGAAGTTCTAATCAAGTCACTCAACTGCATCTTTCTTCAAAACCATTCTTAATCACCTAACTTTATATAAATTAATTCAAATGTCTCTATTTAAGAGTTTCTTTGTTTATTATTCAAAAATAAAAAAAAGAATAGTTTCTTTGTTTTGACTTTATACTAATGAAGTAGAAAACTCAAACCTATACATTACAAACAAATAACTAATGAAAATTAAATTATGTGACATGCTGAGTGCTGAAAAGAGCTAGCGAAACTGTTTCTTCCCCTTTTTAATTAGCATCACTTTTTCATCCTATTAAGCATTAGTTATTCCTATATTGCAATCTTTGAAGCTGTCGTATTAATTCTAATACACATGGGGTTTCGTTTTATAGGGCTTTTTTCAATGGAGATTCTAGGAGCGCCAATCACGGAATTGGCAAAGTATTTGGGGAGAAAAGTCTGCATCTATGTAGATTATCACTTAAATTTTAATGAAACTGTAAATGATCTGAGAAGGGAATTGCAAGATCTAAACCAGAGAAAAGAAGATATAAATTTAAGCATACAGTCTGAGGCTGGTTGGGGAAAAGAAGTAAAACATGAAGTGCAAGGCTGGCTTGAACGTGTACAAGAAATTAATAATGAAGTGCAAACCATCGAAGAAAAGATTTTGAGAGTTAAGTGGTGCTCAAAGGGTTGTCTCGGGAAACTTGTTTGTAGGAAAATTGAGGTGGTGAAGAGAATCCATGAACGTGGTAGTTTTCCTGATGGTCTCACTGTTGACAAACCTCCACCTCGAGGAATCATATTGCCAACTGAGAACATAGTGGGTGAAGATTCAGCAAAAAGGAAAATTTGGGGACACTTGATGGGCACTGAGATCAGAATGATTGGAGTCTGTGGGATTGGTGGGGTTGGGAAGACTACCATCATGAAGCATATTCATAATGAATTGTTGAGTGTGTCCAACTTTGATAGAGTGATTTGGGTCACTGTGTCCAATCCACTCAATATTATCAAATTACAAGAAAATATTGCTGGTGCCATGAATGATAGATTGAGACTCCCTGAAGGTGAGGATAAAGTGAGGCGAGCAGCAACATTAATGGGAATTATGGAAGCAGTAGGAAGATACGTGCTAATCCTAGATGATGTCTGGGAGAAGTTTTCTCTAATGGAAGTGGGAATTCCAGAACCAACAACTCAAAATGGAAGCAAAATAGTTATCACTACTAGATCCATTGAGGTGTGCCAAAGAATGGGTTACAATATAGTCAAGGTGGAGCCTCTTTCATTTCAGGAATCTCTTGACTTGTTTTCAGACAAAGTTGGGCGTCATCTTCTACAAGTTCCAAATTTAGAAGGAATCTTAAAGCTAATTGTAAAGGAGTGTGGTGGCTTACCACTAGCCATTGTTGTGATAGCAGAGACTATGAAGGGAGAAGATGATGTTAATGTGTGGAATAATACCCTGAATGAATTACGAGAACGGGTAGAGAGTGTGAATGATATTGATAAAGAGATATTTGAGAAGTTAAGATTTAGTTTTGATCATTTGAAGAGTTCTGAAATCCAAAACTGTTTTCTTTATTGCTCCTTGTTTTGCGAAGATTATGCATTAAGGACAAGAGAGTTGATAGAAGGGTGGATTGATGAAGGACTAATTGATGGGTTGCGTAGTAGAAAAGCGGCTTATGATAAGGGTCATGCCTTTTTAAAAAAGCTAGTGAAGAATTGCTTGTTAGAAAAAACTGTTGATTGGAGTGGTGATGTTTTTCAGATGCATGATGTAATAAGAGATATGGCTATCAAAAGCATTGGTCCTGAATTTGGATATATGGTAGAAGCTGGTATGAAATTGACAGAGGTACCAAATGAGCAGGGGTGGAGAAATGATCTTAAGAAGGTTTCTCTAATGGAGAATAACATATCAAAAATTTCCCCTAGGTTGTCCCCAAAGTGTCCAACTCTTTCAACTTTGATATTGTCAGACAATCGTAACTTGTTAGAGATCCCACAATCCTTCTTCGAAGGGATGTCTGAACTTAAGGTTCTTGATCTTTCTAGAACTGCTATTGAAGCTTTACCTAATTCCATCTCAAATTTGGAGAATCTCTCTGCCCTGCGATTAGAGTTGTGTGGAAGCTTAAAGTGCTTGCCTTCTTTAGCAAAGCTTAAGGCATTGAAGAAGTTGAATTTGAATCGTTCGGGGATTAATGTGGTCCCTCAAGGCATGGAGAAGTTGATTAGTCTAGAATATCTTGATTTATACCGTTGTAAAAATCTGAAGGAGATTCCAATTGGAATGTTATCAAATCTTTCCCATCTTCAATACTTGGTAGTTGATGCAAAATTGAAGATAAAAGTAGAAGAGGTTGCACTATTGAGCAAGTTGGAGACCTTTGAGTGTGTTTTTGATGAAATACAAGGCTTCAATTATTTTGTCAAGTCTCAAGATTTCCAAATTCTTACTGATTACAGGATTGCAATAGGGGCAGGACTCTATGATTTAATAGAGTTTATAATGGACAGAAAGAAACTTGTGGTTCTCATTTATAATTGTGACATAGGAGGAGAATGTGTAGTGCTTCCAGATAACATTCAGTATTTGTGGATCGGTGAGTGTAAAAACATGAGAAGCAGCTTAAACAAAACAGCTTTGTTAGAAAAGGCAACCCAGTTGAGTTACTGTCGTATTGAGTGTTGTGAAGATATGGAATGTGTGGTTGAGTTGGACTCATCCTCCTGTTCAGTACTGGACAACATTGAAGAGTTGTGTCTTAGGAAATTGCCTAACTTGAGTGTACTTGTGAGAGTGGAAGGAGTAGCAACACCACCACACGTCTTTTCCAATCTTCAAATTCTTGTTATAAGTGAATGTTCAGGGATAAGGAAATTGCTTCCACTTGAGTTAATGCAGGCCCTCCAAAACATAGAGAAGATTGAAGTTTCTGATTGTGAACAAATGGAGGAGATAATAACATCATCAGATTCAGATGCATCATTGGACAAACTCAATTTTTCCAAGTTAAGGATATTGCAGTTGTGGAGTTTACCCCAATTGGAGAGCATTTGTAGTGCCAAAAGAGTTATGGTTTGCAATTCTATTGAAGAAATTTGGATAGATGAATGTCCAAAGTTAAAGAGGATCCCAATGCAACTTCCCCTACTTGATAATGGCCAACCATCTCCTCCTCCTTGTCTCAAAGAAATCAAGATAGATGAAGAGTCAAAAGAATGGTGGGAATCAGTGGAGTGGGATCATAAGAACCTACTGCGACCTTTCTTGAAATATTCTGCCTAATGATTGAGGGTAAGGTGTTGATTGATTAACTATTCAATTATAATTATAAAAATGTTGATTTCTTCTTTTTATTTGATATACTAATAGTTTTTTTTTTTTTTTGTTTAGATTTTAATACCTTGATTATGAGGTATAATTTCCTTTTAAATTCTTATTATTTGATATACATTTTTTTTTCCTTATTTTTGGCAGGAACAGGAATAGATCTCAAAATAAGGTTCATGCTCATTTTAATTTTATTTATGTTTATATATTCTTTTTTATATTATTGTTAAAATTGTTTCGTAAATATATTGTTAGGGGACTTGATAATTGTGTTGTTTCGTTTTATTGATTTTTTATATAAAATTAACTATAAAAAATTATAAAAATAATTTTGAATTTGGTTGAATTTTAATTTTTTTTATTTTATTTTTTGGCCCAGTATATTCTACAGCTAGCGGCGGTCAAATATAACTCAAAAATATATATATATATTCAATAGCCAAAGGCTGTTGCTTAAAATAGTACTCCCTCTGTTCCTAAATATTAGTCGTTTTAGGCATTTTCACCAGGATTAAGAAAAGCAATTAATCACTCTCAATTTGAGCAATAAATATATTTAAAGTATTATTTTACCCTTTTTCCACTTCGATTCTTGCGTTTTACTGGTTCATCTTTGTGGGTAGCTGGGAAGGGTAAATTTGGAAAAAAAAAGTTAATGCAGCATTAAAATCTCAAAACGTCAAATAATTAGGAACAAATTTTGGCTGCTAAAACGACTACTATTTCGGAACAGAGAGAGTAGCATCGACAGCCTATGGCTATCGAATAAAATTCCAAAAAAAAATTTCGACAGCTACTTTCTATTGATTGAAATGTATAATCGACAGAACTTGACTGTCGAATATACCCACTAAAATCTGTAAACCATTATCGTCAGCTATCAAAATGTTGATGAAAATTATGTAATCGATAGTCATTAATTGTCGATGACTTTTTTTTTTTAAATTTTTGTCCAAGTATAATAGATAGTCAAATGTTGTCGATTATGGTATATTCGATAGCCATTGGCTGTCGAATAAAATAGTATAATCGACAATAAATTTTTCTGTCAATTATATTTATTTTTGGCTCTTGTTTCTATGATTGATATAGTTGTCGATTATGTCCGTTGATTAAGATATAATAGATAAGAATCTTTTTATAATCGAAAGTATTTTTTGTTGAACATACTCTGTTTTTCAATAGTGCCTTTATTTAGTTGTTTTGCAATTTCTTTTGTATCATTGGAAGAATCAACCGCAAGAATGTTGATTGATTGGCGGTAAGGTGAGGTTCATTTCATCTCATGCATATCTCCTTTATCTATAACCTACGTCAACCCTTCTTGAAGTACATTATGAAATTAGTAAAGGAATGAAAAGGGAATGGAGGGGGAGGGAAAGGAATGACTAGTGTTAAATTTGTTTTGATAGACAAAAGTGTAGGAGAGGGGAGAATAACATTTTTATTTAATTAATAATTTAAAGAAAAATAAAATATAATATAATAAAAAATTTTAATTATACTAATCAAATAATTAATTAAAATAAAATATTTATGTATGTTTATTTTTAAAAAAAATTTAATTAATTATTATACTTTTAATTTATTAAAAATAAAAAAATATAAATTTTTTAAAAATATAATGTAATGATTTAATAAACAATTACCTTAAAAGTGTGTAGCAATAACCTCACCTAATGGGCAAAAGAAGAAAGGAACATGGGAATTTAAAAAAAAAAAAAAAAGGAAACATGGACAGCGGAATGAGAAATTAGGAATAACTTAAAATCCTTCTAACACTAAAAATAGAAAATTTATTTTTTAATTGCAGAATTACATGTCCACAAGCAATGTGACAAGCCACGTAGTTCGCAGCGCAATTCAAAGCGTCATTGCTTGTATGATTTTTCTTATTTGTATCATTTTCCTTATTTATTTGTTTTCCAATTGCTTTTCTATCATTTGCAATCCAGAATGAAGGAAAGAATCGCTATTGTATCATTAGAGGTTGAATCAAAGAAGTCAATTTCGTACTGTACCAGCCGTATATTGGTTTGGACACTTAACCGAAATGACACAACATTAATTTTTATTTTGATCAAAATTTAATCATTTTTGTCAAAATTCGGTATAGCGGTCGAAATTTTGTGTACAGGCCCTACACTGGATTTTGGCCGGTACACTTCAAGCCACCCAAAAAAAAAAGATCCAAAACGACGTCGTTTTGGTAAAGGGCTTTTAATCCCTGCAAATCTGCAATTTCAGATCGAGCATACTTTGCGAACACGATCCGACCCTCTTCACCGGTGGTGCAAGGCGTGCAGCAGCTGCTCCTCCTCCTTCCTGTTTTGTGAATCGGCGCCCTAGATCTTGGACTTGGAGATCGATTCGTGGGCTTGTAATTTCAGATTGAAATCATTGAATCTCTGCAGCAACCCAACTCCGTCTGCTGCTTGAAACTTTCTAGCTTCGCCGGTGGTCGGGTGGTCTAGTCCAGCTGCTGCTCTCTCTTCTTAATTGGTGGGCTAGGGGCTAGATCTTGCATCTTGTTTCTCTTCACCCCTCTCCAGCAACCGAGCTTCATCTCCAGTAGCCGACCTCCGTCCCCAGCAGCCGAGCTTCGTGTCCAGCAACCCAGCTCTGTCTCCAGCAACCCAACTCCGTCTCCAGCAGCCTAGTTCCGTCTCCAGCAGCCCAGCTCCGTCTCCAGCAGCCTTGCTATCCCTAACCATCGACGCTGCAGTCCTTAATCTCTCCGGCATCACCGATCTCTCCTGTCTCCCCGACCACGTAGCCGTCGACCTCTTCCGGGTACTTCTAATTTCTTAGAATTGACTTTTAGTTTGTGCAATTTCTTTGCATTCTGGAACTAGGTTTGCTTCTGAATTCTTTCCCTGATTTGGATCATCTCGACAGAGTTATAAATGATCATGCTAGCTGATGTTGATTGTGGTTTTTTAGCTATTGATTGGAGAATTCACTGTCACATCATATTGTTAATCTTGTCTGATTGACTTCTCACTGCAGATCCAGTTTTGGAGAAAAACTTGATTTTGCTACTTGTGCTTTTTTACTGTGGATAAGATGTCTTTCCTTGACAGCATTTTACTAGGTTTTGATACTTTAATGGATTATTTTCATTTCACTTCTCCATGTGGTCAATCTCTTGTTTTGGTAGATCTTTGTTTTCTTCATATAATTCTCATAGGATTGTTGAGATTGAGAACCCTTATTTTGCGATAGAAAATTGACTGCAATTCTTCGTATTTCAATGTTAATATATGGATATGAAGGTGGAAGTTCATAATATTAAGAATAAGGGATAAATGGATCATAGTAAATGTCTGTAGTATTATTGTCTGTTTAATCATTATTATCATCTTAATGTTTTTAAGTTAAAGTATCCAAAGGATTTTTGCTTGAGATATAATGGAGTTTAAGTTAATGGTTGAAGAAAGAAAGGATTATACCAACTCAAAAGGTTTTCTCAAATCTTGTCCTTAATTATATTAATTTCTTTTATAATTATTTTAAATTTTGATATTTAATTTATAAAAATATATATTTATAGCAATAAATCCGAAACGGTACGCAAAAAATTTTGGTATCCGGTACGTACCGTTTCAGTAGCAAAATCGGTACGTATGCCGGTACATATTGACTACTTTGGGTTGAATAGCTCCAGAGAAAGAAATTGTCAAATTAATTTCCTGATTTCTTCAACATTCTTTCCATTCTATGGCACTGACGGACGGCCAGGTTGAGCAGCAACGTTCCGTTTGTATATGCATGTGACATGTCCAAATAAGTCACGTGCGGCCTCAAACAGCACGTGTCAGTAAAACCCACTCCTTCTTTCTCCTCCATCCAGTCCAGGCATTCTGAACTTCTTCAATAACCATATTTGTGTTTGGATAAATGATTTTGATTTCTCCATTTCTTCCTCTTCTTTGCTGCCCGAATTTTAATAAAGAAACTAAAGCATACTTAATATTACAATAATATAAGGTCTTAGGAAAAGATATCATGGTCACCAGAGCAATAAAGAGGACTCCGCAAAACACTTGGTTGACCTGCATTCATTCTGGCTTTACTAATTATGGAGTGCTTCTAGCTATCTTTTGTACCTTTTTTCCTGATTAATTCAAGCAATTGGAGGCTAGTATGCATGGCCCTGCTATTTTAGTTGATTTCATTTTGCCTGTTTTAGATTGTAAATAAGCTAGGTTGCAACAATCGCACTCTTTTAACTGTTTGGTCTTTCAATGCAGGCCTCCTGTGGAGCTAAGAAGTCTCACTGCTTCAACTAATCTGGGAAGCAGAGCAAGAAACAAGACAAGCAGGGAAAGTGTCGTCAAAGAGAAAGTATAGAAGAATCTTTCCTTGGGTCGCCAGTACTCTGCAAGCGGCAGAATCAGAAAACCCTTTCATGGAGAGACATTAAACTCATAGCACCTTTGAACACTGAACGCTCAAATAGACAAGCAAGGAAAGCAAGGCAATATCTTATGGTTCTTAATAAGAGTTGACTCGGGCAAAATGAAGTTTATTCTTCCTAGCTGTCATTCTTCACTGGATTACATTCTTTCTTTTGATTGGACAATATTTCTAATTCATGTTCATCAACAATTTCTGTTTTTTAATGGGAAATCCAAACTCCAAAGTAGGCAATTTGCTCCGGATTTCCCCCTTCCTTTACTAGGATGCAGTATGAAACAGCTTTTGTAAATAACCTCCTTTATGAATCTACAAGAGAATTCAGAGACAAAAAGAGAGTAATAATATGCATGATCTATGTTCAATCTCACACACATAGTCTTCAACCACATTTTGCAATGATGGTTGGCTCATTCAGAACATAAATTGGTGGTTCGTTATTTGCACCTGAAAAGGTGAATGGTAAGGCAGCTTAGAGGAAATTTCAATTTGTCTCGTAAAGCATAATTGTTTCGACAAAAATTAGCTATTACCAAGTTTATTCATTTGGATAAAAGGAAGAGTAAAGGAGCTGCTTTGAGCTACGGAAACTGGTCCCTTCCCAAGTTTATTCATTCCCGAGTAATCGTTCGCTTGTATTTTGACTTCCAGCGCTTGACTTCCTGTTTTGAGTTGTTTTACACTTATGGCATAATCTCAATGTAAAGCGTTGGAGTACTGCCTATACTCCCATTTCATTATATATATCTTTCTTCGCTACTAAGAGAAAGATTATAAGAACTAGGTGGATCAGGAACAATATGATCCATTGAGGTGCTAATCCTAGATGAGGTCTGGGAAAGGTTTTCTCTAATGGAAGTGGGAATTCCAGAACCAACAATTCCGAATGGAAGCAAAATAGTTATTGAGGTGTGCCAAAGAATGGGCTGTAAGATAGTCAAGGTGGAGCCTCTTTCATTTCAGGAGTCTCTTGACTTATTTTTAGACAAAGTTGGGCGTTATCTTCTACAAGTTCCAAATTTAGAAGGAATCTTGAAGCTACTTGTAAAGGAGTGTGGTGGCTTACCACTGGCCATTGTTGTGATAGCAGAGACTATGATGGGAGAAGATGATGTTAATGTGTGGAATAATACCCTGAATGAATTACGGGAACGGGTAAAGAGTGTGACTGATATTGATAAAGAGATATTTGAGAAGTTAAGATTTAGTTTTGATCATTTGAAGAGTTCTGAAATCCAAAATTGTTTTCTTTATTGCTCCTTGTTTCCTAAAGATTATCCATTTAAGATAGGAGAGTTGATAGAAGGATGGATTGATGAACTAAAGGGTCGCCTAGTAGAAAAGCAGTGTATGAGAGGGGCCATACTTTTTTAAATAGGCTTGTAAAGAATTGTTTATTAGAGAAAACTTTTAATTGGCGGGGTGATGATGTTTTTAAGATACATGATGTCGTGAGAGACATGGCTATCAAAAGCATCGGTCCTAAATTTGGATATATGGTAAAAGCTGGTGTGAAATTATTAGAGGTACCGGATGAGTGCAGGTGGGGAAAAGATCTTAAAAAGGTGTCTCTAATAGAAAGTAACATATCAAAAATTCCCCTTGAGTTATCCCCACAGTGTCCAACTCTTTCAACTTTGATTTTGTCAAGTAATCCTAATTTGTCAGAGATTTTAGAATCCTTCTTTGAAGGGATGCCTGAACTAAAGGTTCTTGATCTTTCTAGAACTTCCATTCAAGCTTTGCCTAATTCCATCACAAACTTGGAGAATCTCTTTGCTTTGCGGTTAGAGTGGTGTGAGAGGTTAAGGTATTTGCCTTCTTTAGCAAAGCTTAGGGCATTGAAGAAGTTGGATCTGCATTGTACTGGGATTGATGTGGTCCCTCAAGGCGTAGAGAAGTTGATTAGTTTGGAATATCTTGATTTATACAATTGTAAAAGTCTTAAGGAGATTTCAATGGGAATGTTATCAAACCTTTCCCATCTTCAATACTTGGTAGTTGATACAAAATTGAAGATAACATTAAACAAGGATGAGAGATTGAGCAAGTTGGAGACCTTTCATGGTGTACTTAATGACATACAAGGCTTCAATTATTTTGTCAAGTCTCAAGATTTCCAAATTTTTATTAATTACAGGATTGCAGTAGGAGCAGCAATGTATAAGTTTATAAGGGACCAAAAGAAACTTGTGGTTCTCATTTATAACGACATAGGAGGAGAATGTATACTGCTTCCAGATAACATTGAGGATTTGTGTATCTATGCATGTAAAAACATGAGAAGCAGCTTAAACAAAACAGCTTTGTTAGAAAAGGCAACCGAGCTAAGAAGTTGTGATATTTGGAATTGTGAAGAGATAGGGTTGCGTCGTTGACTTGAACTCATCCTCCTGTGCAGTACTGGGTAAACTTGAAGACTTGTCTCTTAGGAAATTGCCTAACTTGAGTGTACTTGTGAGGGTGGAAGGAGGAGCAACACCACGACACGTCTTTTCCAATCTTAAAAGCCTTTATACAGCAGAATGTTCAAGAATGAGGAAGTTGCTTCCACTTGAGCTATTGCAGGCCCTCCAAAACATAGAGAAGATTGAAGTCTATTGTTGTGAACAAATGGAGGAGATAATAGCATCATCAGATTCAGATGCATCACCGGATAAATTCACTTTTCCCAAGTTAAAGGAATTGAAATTGTCATTTTTACCCCAATTGAAGAGCATCTGCAGCGCCAAAGGAGTTGTGGTTTGTGACTCCATTGAAGAAATTAAAATATAAAAATGTCTAGAGTTAAAGAGGATCCCTGTGCAGCTTCTCCTGCTTGATAATAACCAACCATCTCCTCCTTCTCATCTCAAAGAAATTAAGATAGATGAAGAGTCAAAAGAATGGTGGGAATCAGTCGAGTGGGATCATAAGAACCTACTTCAACCTTTCTTGAAATATTCTAGCGATTGGTGGGATTGAGGGTAAGGTGTTGATTGATTAAGTATTCAATTTCAATTTTAAGAATGTAGATTTCATCTCATGCGCTATCTCCTTTATTTATTTATTTGTTTTCCAATTTTCTATCATTTGCAATCCAGATTGAAATTGTTTCCTTCAACATTCCTTCTATTCAATGGTGGCGGCACTAACGGATGGCCAAGATGAGCGGCAACATTTCGTTTGTGTATGTACCTGACATGTTCAGGTAAGTCACGTGTGACCTCGAACAACACGTGCCAGTAAAGCCCTTCATTTCTTCTTTTCTCCTGCAGTCTAGTTTGGTCCTGTTATTCTAATTCTGAAACCATAATGAAGAGATCCAGTTGAGTCCAACCTCTGCTTCCCCATTTTCACCCGAGATTCTCGACTAATTGCATACCATATGTGGAATCAAGTCTCTTCTATCTATGTATGAATTATTATGATTTTAACTCTAACTCCTTTTTATATTTCTTATTCCATTTTGCTGGTCTGTTTATTTAGGGATTTCTTATCTTCTTAAATGGGTTCCTTCTGGGTATGGTTATTTTTGAGAATTCGGTAGTTGGTTCTAATAAATTTATTGAGTTGTTTAATTTGTGATAATCAGTAATTGGAATATTTAAATTAACGGTTTTTGTCTGAGTTGGAAGTAAAATCATTGAAATGAAAAGCATGCAGGATTTCAATTTCAGTATTCCAATTTTGGCACAATCGGTTGGCAATTGGCGAAAAGAGTCCCAGGATCCTGTCTCCGATGAACTCCAAGTACTCCTAAGTATTATCATTTCTGATTTTGGCACTGGATTTGGTGTCCTAAACTCCAAGTAGTGAGTATTGATTTCACTGTGTTCATTTTCCATCTGTATCTATATTTTGATTTTAAATTACCCTTCAAAATTAATATTATGATTCACCTGCAACCATAATAATATAACATACTTTGTAGTTTCTTTTATCTTATATTGGTCTCATTTTAAACAATTTTTCTAAGTTCAGTTTTTACTTTTACCTGATTTTTGCATATTCACGTGGGAAGGGCAGGTTCATTACCAAATATATGGGTTTGTGATTCCGCAAAGTCGAAATCCAGTTGCACACCAAAGGATGTGGTAATTCAATTCTGAATTCTAATAATTCGTTTCCTTATCCATAAAAAGTAGTGGTAGCATCATTGCCTAAATTGATTCTTTTATGCATTAAATAAATTATAAACCAAACTCTATATATTACAATTTGGAATTCACATTACTGGAGTGATTCTGACATTTAATCTCTTCTTTCTATGGACTCTTAGCTGATTTTTTCTTTTTCTTTCCTTTGTTTCTTTACTTATTGCAGATCCTTTTTTTTGTGTTGATGATGGTGAAGCAATTGAAGAAGGGGACACTGATGATGATGCTAATGGTGTTGATTTTAAGATTGCTTCTAATGGTGAAAGGCAACAGGAAAAGGAGCGTGGAAAAAGTACCAATATTCACGCTTTGTAACTTTACAAGTTCTGCTTTTCATTCCATAACTGGTCTTCCAGGCGCATAGATTTTTCAAAATAATCATTTTACCATCTGATTCTGCTTATCATTGATTTTAATCCTGCTGATAGTTATTTAATTTGTTATCAAACATTGATTTTAATTCTGCACTGGATGTTGGATGAGACCATCCTGCACTTCTTCAATAACCAAAGTTGTGTTTAGATAAACGATTTTGGTTTCTCCATTTCTTCATCCTCTTTGCTGCCCAAATTTGAATAAAGAAACTGAAGCATGCTTAATATTACAATAAAATCAGGTCTTGGGAAAAGATATCATCGTCACCTGAATAATAGAGAGGACTCTGCAAAAGACTTGGTCATTATTGAATGACCTGCATTCATTCTGGCTTTACTAAGTATGGAGTGCTTCTAGCTATCTTTTTTTCCTTTTTTCCGATTAATTCAAGCAATTGGAGGCCGCCACGTAGGAATAAATTTTTTATAATTGTTTTATATAATTTTATATATTATTAAATAAATAAATTTATTTAATATTATAAATTTTAAATAAATAAATAAATAATTTAAATAATATATAAAATTATAAAAAAAAATTATCTTGAATTATTATTATTATTATTATTAATTCTTTATTTTATGTTCAACCATAATTTAAAAAATGGAACTTGACTCTCTGAAAAAAAATAAGAGACTTGAATAAATTACAAGCTTAATTTTTTTGGCTTACGAAATAGGTGTTATTGAGGGAAAAAAAAATGAGCCATAATTTTAGAATTAATTAGAGATAATATAAAATTTAATTAATTAATTATTATATATTTATTTGATTATTAGATAAAAAAATTTGCTTTACTAAAATTGACCAGATGAGCTATTTAATTTATATAAAAATAATACTAGCAATTTCGAAATGATTTACGGTATTTTTTAGTACCCTAC